AATGGTAAATTTCACTATACATGTAGTTAATTATGAATTTTACAAAATACATATTGTGATTTACAACTTTTGTAGTGAAAGTGACTACTTTGTTAATGGGTTTTGCAACCTGTTTTCAGGAGATAAACAACTTGTTTGTAAAAACTAATAAAAGTGACAACTTTTGTAGTCACGTTGAATTAACTGGTTGCAAAAGCCATTTAAGAAGTGGTCATTTTCACTATAAAAGTTGTAAATATCACTGTGTGTTTTGTAAAATTCAGCGTCAAATTTTATTGATTTTTAGAAACAAGTTGCTCATCCCCTGAAAAGAGGTTGCAAAACTCATTTAAGAAGTGGTAATTTTCACTACAAAAGTTGTAAATATCACTCTATGTTTTGTAAAATTCAGCATGGAATTTTATTGGTTTTTAGAAACAAGTTGTCAATCCCTTAAAAAGAGGTTGCAAAACTCATTTAAGAAGTGGTCATTTTCACTATAAAAGTTGTAAATATCACTGTGTGTTTTGTAAAATTCAGCGTCAAATTTTATTAATTTTTAGAAACAAGTTGCTCATCCCCTGAAAACAGGTTGCAAAACTCATTTAAGAAGTGTAATTTTCACTACAAAAGTTGTAAATATCACAGTGTGTTTTGTAAAATTCAGCATGGAATTTTATTGGTTTTTAGAAACAAGTTGCCAATTCCTTGAAAAGAGGTTGTAAAACTCATTTAAGAAGTGGTAATTTTCACTACAAAAGTTGTAAATATCACTCTATGTTTTGTAAAATTCAGCATGGAATTTTATTGGTTTTTAGAAACAAGTTGTTAATCCCTTGAAAAAAGGTTGCAAAACTCATTTAAGAAGTGGTCATTTTCACTATAAAAGTTGTAAATATCACTGTGTGTTTTGTAAAATTCAGCGTCAAATTTTATTAGTTTTTACAAACAAGTTGTTTATCTCCTGAAAACAGGATGCAAAACCCATTAACAAAGTAGTCACTTTCACTACAAAAGTTGTAAATCACAATATGTATTTTGTAAAATTCATAATTAACTACATGTATAGTGAAATTTACCATTCACGTAATGGGATTTACTAAAAACCAGCAGGCATATGACAGCAGTTACGTTACGTAATTGCTTGCCATTGTTTTCTGATTTTCGCTTCGTCTTTCCGCTTCGGTTCACTCCCTCTCTCACTACAAATCCTCTTTCCCACAACCAAAACCCACCAAATCAACAATCTCTACAGAATGGTGATGCGAAGGATTTAGTTTCGTCAACTGGAGGGGGTTCGGTTTCGTGGAGTGGAGGGATTGGTTTCATCGAGTAGAGGGATTCGGTTTCATTGAGGGGAGGGATTAGTTTCACCAAGTAGATGGATTGGTTTCGTCAAGTGGGGGCAGTTTCTCTTTCGCCGAGTGGGCGGAATTGCTTTCGCTGGGAGGAGGCGAACACAATAAGGGCAATTCAGTCTTTAGGCCAAAAATCAAAATTCCAGATTGGTACCTGGTGCCTTCTTTGTCATTTTGCTTATTCGGGTCCCTTATCTGTCTTTTTGGAATTCAAGTGGTATTTTAGTGTCATTTTCCCATCAAAAAATGTTTTTTTTAAAAAATATGTTACCTCGGGTTCTCAACATAAAGACTAAATAACTAATTTAAAAAGACAAAAAAATTAGCTAAGTTTATTAACTGTAACAAATATAGGTTAATTCTATTAAACTACTTTTATAACCATGTGTATTGAAACTCTCATTTGATAAAAACTCTTTATAATTAATAAAGATATTTTTAAAAAAATTATAAATTTGAGAAAAAATAAATTAAGGTTTTGTATTTAAGATCAAATATAATTTCTAACTAGTTTTTATATTAAAGACCGAAAATAGTACTTGTCATTTAGTGATAAGAATTTAATGTGAAGATATAAAAATATTTCAATGAAAATGTACTATCATGAGAAAGAAATAGTTAGCATTCGCGATAAGAAAAAAATTAGATGTTATATTTAAAATCAAATTAAAATTCTTGATTGGGAAAAATTTTTGGGGGCGGGACCTTTCATTTAAAAATATATCGGTAATAATAACCAAAATCAAAGTACGGATACTCATTATATACAAATTACAGAGTACCTCTCAACAATAAAATTTTAAGTGCAAGACTTTTCCTCAATTTTCCATTTAACTTTACTGTTGATCCCATTTTCTTCATCTTCTCGTTTGTTTATTCATCGTAATTATCCCATTTTATTCCCGGTGTAGTTCGGTTTGGAAGCATATAAAATGCAATGCGTTTTAAACAATGGACTTCTCTGCCCCAGCAAACAGACTTAGGTGAAGTTGTCTTTATTATTGAGTACTTGGATATAATTAACACTGAATATAAACACTTCCCAAAATTATGATTATGCGATGTTAAGGTCTTATTGTTTGGCCCAAACTGGAATGAGAAGACCTTGCAAACAAAGTACCCCAAATGCAATTTTTTTTTTCCAATGAAATATATTACAAGGTTCAACAAACGAAAATTAACCACTGTTTAAACCACCTAAACATTAACCTACGATCTTCAGCCACTACGCGCAAGCTATAAGAAGCAATTCCACTTTTCCATTCAAGAGCCTGTTAAATTAGAAGTGGAAATCATGGCTGGCTCTTCAAGGTTAACGGGTTTAAAAAGACCAGTCTTACAGGGCTAAAATTTAAAAAATACCATAATTTGTTAAGCCCGTCCCTTAAGCTAACGGGCTCAATGTCAGCTTGTGGACTTTTAGCCCATTAAAAAAAAAAATACTATTTTTTATATTTCTCATATTTTTTATCAAAAGAAATGAAAATAAACCAATAAAATTGTTAATAAAAGATATAAATCTGAATAAAATTAAGTCACAAATATAAAATATCATCATATATAAGTATTTATCAACATCCAAGAACATCTAAAACATTCATTAACAAGATAACAACATCTAAAAGTTTCATCTATAGTGCAATTGCGCAATAAATAAACACTATCATTAATCTTTTGAAACTTCATCATCACTATAATCAATTACTCTTCTTCACACGTATGATTTTCTTTCGTAACAAAAATATCGAGTTTTTCTTTTTTATAAGAATTTTACTTTTAAATTTTGCAATCTAGCTATTATTTTATTTTAGTATGAGAAACATTGTTGTTGAAACTCATGAATTTCTAATTCAAATTATAGAATCATAAGTTATATAAGTATAAAAAGTATAAAAATACTCTATTATCAAATATATACAGTTTAAAAAAATCAACGCATATTATATAAATCAAATCATTATTAAAATCCAAATTAACCCATTTTTTTAAAATTTAATTAGACAAACTATTGTCTAAAACTAAATAAATCAAATCATTCTGTGAAATTTAATTTTAAAATGATAATAACAATTAAATATTTGAAATATCATTAACAATGTAAAAAATTAATAATATGAAAACTATACAAAAAAATTAAAAAAACAAAAAAATTATTAAAAAAGACCTAAATGGACCGGTCCTTTTAAGCTCTTGGCTCTATATAGCTAGTCCTGCAGGGCCTGTTTTCCATCTGAAGAAAAAAATTTTAAACCCGGCCCTCGTGATTTTAGGACATAAATGAGCTCGTCTGATTTTTCCAACTCTACCTTAAACTGGGAGGAGTCCACTTGAATAACCAAAGCATAATCAGTGGAGAAGCAATAATGTGCTGCCCTCCGATAAACAAAAGAACCTACCTCAAGTGATGGAAGATGCGGACTCACTTATGCTCATTCGTCCTCTGCAAGGCATAATCGGTTCATGGTCTGTTTTAGTTCAGCAACCCCATCTCACAGTCGATCCTTTTCTTGGGATGACATCATCAAACAAAGCTTTACGCTGTACCTCCTTTTCTTGGGATGACATCACATGCAAGGGATCCGCTGCAGCATTATGATACATTTTCTTGTTTCTGAACCCACATGTAGCACAAGGTCCAGCAAATGAAGCGGCCGGTCTCTGCAGAGTTTTTTTTTTTTAAAATAAAATAAAAGACGAGGGACACACCCAAGCAATCACAAAACTAACTAGAGAGGGGATAAGATCCCAGGCAATCAGCATTACACAAGTCCCTCATGTGAGGCGGACAGCTATCAAAGAAAGAAGCTTTGGCTAGGGAACCTGCAACATGATTTTGAGCTCCGGATATGTGTCTTAACTCTTAACTGTACTTGCCATCTTGATGTCTGTGCAAAGTTACTCCTCTAGTCCTAAATATAGGACTAGGGTATTTTGTAACACATTCTCAGGCCAACACTGAATATCCAAACGCTGCAGATTCGAGCACGTAAAACCCAGATAAGACTCAAACCAAATAGCGCTAGCCCAGTAATGACAATCAAAAAGTTAATTTGACTTCTAATTTAATCATAAACATAAAATTCTAATTCATTTTATCTTTCATATTTATCTATTTTTTTTCAAAATATGTATGTTAAAAGTTTCATTAAATAGTAATTCTAGCTAATATATATTATTAGCAAAAGTAGTTTAAAAAAATAATACCTATTCATTGTCAATAATTAACTTAACTAATTTTTTTAATATACTAATAATAGAACACATAATTCACTAACCTAATCACCTTAATTAGCTCAAATTAGCTAACTAATTGGAAAATAGTAACAGAAGACATCTACCTAGGAAAACAAACACGCTTTCCTGGTTCCTTATTCATTTCATCTCTTGTTTCTTCCCCATGCTTAGGGATTTCCCAAAAAAAAAAAAACAAGGGAGAAAGACAGTTGCAAAAGGGAAATGAACTTACATTTTATTCCAAGATCACACCCATTAACATCAAAACACAAGTTAAATTTACAATAATACTATCAGTTAACAAGCCTAAACGCTAGTATTTTTCACAAGCACTCGGTGAATATATATAACACCATCAGTTGACAAGCCCAAACACTAGTATCTTTCTGATCCATCCCAACAAGATTATTGCCAGAAAATAGCACGCTTTATGTTACACACAACATCATATTTGACAAACGAACCTTCAGAAATACCAGCCCGGAAAGCAGAGATTATGTAATTCATTCCTTTCAACCAGAGATCTCAATGGCCTTAACCTCAGGTTTCTTGACCTCTTCCTTTGGAACAGTCACAGTGAGAACCCCATTTTCGATGGAAGCCTTCACCTGATCCATCTTCGCGTTCTCCGGCAACCTGAATCTCCTCATGAATTTCCCACTGCTACGCTCCACGCGGTGCCATTTCTCGTTCTTGTCTTCCTTCTCCACCTTCCTCTCTCCGCTTATCTGAAGCACCCTGTCGTCTTCGATCTCCACCTTCACCTCCTCCTTCTTCAGCCCTGGAAGATCTGCTTTGAACACGTGGGCTTCCGGCGTCTCCTTCCAGTCGATTCGAGTTCCCACAAACGCAGAATTTTCCCTAGAAAATGTTGAGAGAGAGTCCTTGAAGGGATCCCAGACGTCGAGTGAGAATGGTTCGAAATCGCTGCTCCTTCGGCCAGCAAAGAAACTTGGAATCAACGACATTTTCTAACCTTCGGACCGGAACCAGAATAAGATTTGAAGGAAAGAGTAGAAAGTGCTCCGATGAAGTAAGTAGCTGCTGAATCACGAACTCGCTCCTGTTTCTATGGAAGCGGTCGGGGGAGACATCTGGTATTTAAAGAAAGAGGAAGGAGAAATCTAGAAATCTAGTATTTTTTAGGTCGGTTTTGTGATATTTCCTGACGGACCCCAACTTTTCGCGAATTTTCTTTCGGAGGAATTAGGAAATCTTTCAAGTTATATAATTAAAAAAAAGTTAAAAAAGATACTGGCAATTGACATAGAGAGAATTTATAACACCTTTTAGGTTTTAAAAATGTATTTGTCATTTAATGATCAGAATTCCATTTGAAAGATAAAAATATTTTAATAAAAAATGTATCATGAAAAGAAATAACTAATGCAGGAGGCAAGAAAAAGTTGAATCTTTTATTTAAAATCAAACTAGAAATCTTGAATGCACCTTATGTCTCTGGCGGACAGTAATTAACTTCAGGAAAAATTAAGAAAAAAAGTTTCTTTTTAAAAAAATTTTACCCATGAGAATGACCTAAATTTACGAAGTGTTGCTACTTTTTATTCGTGTGTAAAGAAGGTAAGAAGAAGTATAGGTATCTAATGCGTATAAAATTTGTAACGTATTAGTACTTTTTACGTATAAGCTAAAAAAAATTAATAGAAAACTTTTCTTCAATTTTCTCTCGACTTTACTATTGCTCCCATTATAAAATACACTTTTTGGAGCCATAAAGTACATTAAGAAGAGAAAATTTCTTTAAAACAATACTTAAAGAACCTAAATTTTTATTTAAATCATTAAATTTGTCAAAATCTTAATTAGATCACATGACCTAAAGAGAAAGTTTAAAATTTATGAAATGACTTCAATATCCTTTTTACTAAAATTTGGAGATGAGAATTTTTTATCATTTTCTTGTTGCATAGGAGTTCTTAATAAAAGAAACTTGGCATCTACCATTACAAAGTCGGAAAATCGATTAAAGAGATAACAGTGAGTTAGTTTTTATATCAAACTTCCTTCCTCATTTATGCAAGTATGTTACAGAGATGGAAAGTTGTTAATTTATAATTCAAATGTGTTAACTGAGAAATAGAACATGTTAATTTTTAAGATTGTATTATGATAAAATTTTATTCAAAGAATTATTGTATGTTATAAAGACAGAAGGTTGTTAACTTAGAATTCAAATGTGTTACCCATGAAATGGAACATGCTAATTTTCAAAAGTTATATTGTGATAAAATTTTATTCAAAGACCTATTGTAAGTGTTATGGAGACAAAAAGTTGTGAATTTAAAATTGAAATGTATTATTTGTGAAATGAAAAATGTTAATTTTTGATATTATATTGTGATCCAGTTTTATTTAAAAATTTATTGTAATCATGTTTTGGAAATATAAAATTCTTAATTTATAATTGAAAGTTATTAACTGCATAATTGAAGTTATTAATTTTCAAGATTGTATTGCTAAAAAGTCTTATTTAGAGACTCATTATAAGTGTATTATGAAGATAAAAAATTGTTAATTTAAAATTAAAATGTATTAACTGTAAAATAAAATATGTTAATTTAAAATTCTCTTTGGTTTATAATGAAAGAGAGATTCGAGTCATTTCATAGAATGTTAAAATTTTTCTTTAAGGAGTTTGACAAATTTAATGACCCAAATAAAAATTTGGGTTATTTAAATGTTTTTTTAAAAAAGAATTTTCCTCTTTAAGAAGTAGATTTTTCTGCCCCAAATAATAGCTTTCGGTATTATTATATTTTTTTTTATTATTATTATTAAGTACTTAGATATAATTCATATATTTATTATTGAATATAAAAATTTCCATAAAATTCAATTATGTGATGTTAAGGTATTATTGGTTGGACCGAACTGGAAGAAAAGGACCTTGCAAACAAGTTATTGGGAGCATTAAGATCTAATATTGTGGATGAGTTGCGTGGCTTGTGCACGTGGCAGCAAATAATTTTTCCCATTTTTTCAAAATATTTTATTTCCAATTTATAACATCATTGTGTTTTTAAGGATATATCATTAATTTTGTTTTATTATCAATGTATCATTATTTTTCATCTCCTACATTAATTTTGTTTCTATTTTACATCTCTTGTTCTCACCCATTAATAGTAAATTACACTTCTCTGATTTTAAATATAAAACTCATTTTATATAATAAATTATGCTATAAAATGGATTTTGCATTGAGAGCTAAAGAAGTATATTGTTTGCAACTTCCATCTTGGTTTTCTAAGATGGCTTTGCAACTTAATCTGATTTTTTTATAAAAATATAAATTAATCTATATCATGAAAATTTGATTGAAATTGTTCGAAGTTATAAAGAAGGCTTAATGAAAAGAGATGCAAACGCAATGCCAAAAAGAAAAACTATACTCATTTTTGTACTCTTTTTGTTCTTAATATATAATCTAATTGTTGAGTTAATCTTGATTATAAATGTAAGATCCATTTTTTGTATTTATCAATTTTTCTTCAATTCATATATCATTAATTTTGTTTTATTATCAACGTATCATTATTTTTCACCTCCTCCATTAATTTTGTTCTATTTTACTTCTCTTGTTCTTGCTCATTAATAGTAAATTATACTTTTCCAATTCTAAATGTAAGACTTTTATAGTTTAAATTATAATATAAAATAGATTTTATATTTAAATCAGAAGAGTATATTGTTTGCAACTTCCATCTTGGTTTCCTAAAATGGCTTTGCAACTTAATCAAGTTTTTTTTTATAAAAATATAAATTAATCTATATCATGAAAATTTGATTGAATAGTTCGAAGTTATAAAGAAGGCTTAATGAAAAGAGATACAAATGCAATACGAAAAGGAAAAACTATACTCATTTTTGTACTCCTCCGATGCTTAACGTAGAACTTAATTGTTAAATTAATTTCAGTTTTAAATATAAAATCTATTTTTTATATTTATTAATTTTTTATAAATTACCCCTATTATACTTCTTCAACCATAATTAAGTAGAAAAAAGATAGAAGATATTAAGGAAAATGATTATAATATTTTAGAAAAAATATATCATATTTTTTATAATTAACTAACTTACCTAATTTTTTTAATATAATTAAATTAGTTAAATAAGTCTTACGTTATAGACTGGAGGAATATATTTTAAGTGAAGATGTGATGATCTTTTCGTGTTTTTTTTTTTGTGGGAGTTATCAGACTTGTGAAGATAATAAATTTTTTATTTTTTTTGGCCAGAATAGTACAATTTTTTAAATTGTTGAATAGACGTATCAACATAATGTTTAAAATTATTTAAATTATATCTTTCACGAAGGAAAAAATTTAAGTACTAAACCTTATGTGCTTAAGTAGTATACTTTATCAAGTTAAAACAAATACTGCCTCTCATCTTGAATATAAGATTCAGATAAAGAATTTATTTTGATTCTAGACTTCAATCCATTTTTTTTTCATAAATTTATAATTTTCTACTTAAAGTATTCATATTCATTTCACATATTAAGAGGCTCCTAATCAAAAGTAATTTCAATTCACATGATTAAAGAGAGTGGCTTAGAGAAATTGAGGCAAATTCGTTACAAATAATTAATTTATCAATTTTTTTAATATTTGTAAATTAGTTATCTAGTTGGATTAGAGATAGTATTATAAACTTAGAAAAATTAATCTTTTGATTCTTATAGCTTTAACTCATTTGTAATTCAATCTTAACTCAGTTCCTATAATTTTGACTTAGTTGTGACTCAATTCTTAAACTTTGACTTGCTGCAACTTCATTCTTATAGTTTTCACCATTTTATAATTTAGTTCCTACTTTTATTAGATATGTAATTTTATTTTTCTAAAATACAAGGACAAAATTATAAAATGGTTAAGACTATAGAAACCAAGTTGCAATGAGTCAAAATTTAAAGATTAAGTTATAACTGATTTAAAACTATAGAGACTAAATTACACCAAGTGAAAGTATATGGATTGAGTTACAAATGAGTTAAAACGACAATGACCAAAAGATTAATTTTTCTTGTAAACTTTAAGGCATAAGAATTTGTTAAATAATAAATAATATATAAAAATTCACATATTTTGATCTAATTAAAAAATATCTTGAATATATAAAAATAAAATATATAATTTTTTCCCTTTTATGAATTCAGAGGTCAGAACCAATTACTGAAGATTGATTGATAGATTGAAGAATTCAAATTATGCATGACCACAATTACGAGACATTTTTATTATAATATCTAGTGAAACCGAATATGTAGTAAAACATCGATAAAAAAACATATTATTCGTCAAAGACAACTATGGGGAATTTAAAATTTGCCTTTTTATTTTATTTTATTTTTATTTTTATTCGTTACAATATTCCTTCTGCTCTGTTATGCTGCGGGTACTGAACCATCATCCCCATGTCTGAGAAGCTGCCATTGCAGTGAACAGAAACCCGTTAGCTCAAAAAGGAAATGAAATTGAAATATGTTGAACTTGTCCTTCTGCCCTGGCAATTCGGATCAATTTTTTTTTAAAGAGTTAAAAGTGATAATTTTTTCACCAAAGTTTAATTTAGTTTTTTTATAAATAATTTTTTAACTTAAAAATGTGAAAAAAATAAGAGCTATTTTCTATTTACTTTCTATATGTATGATAGATGACTAGAGTTATTATAGATAATAAGATAAATTAATTCAACTTCCAGTAAGCATTTTCTATAAAGCAAATTCATGATATATTAAAAAGAAAGAATATATTTAAAAAAACTAAAAATAATTTGATAAAATCAAATGACAGCATATTAAATAGCAGTGAAAAAGAAACAATATCGATGGAGCAGTGAAAGAGAAACGCAAACCAGTTCTGGAGAGAATCCAATTAGAATCCTGGTCAACGCTCCAAGAAAAATATCCAAGCAGTCCTCTTCGTTTCGCATAAGCAACTTTCGCAGAAATGCTCTGAGTATCATCATAACCATACCAATCTGATCCTTTCTGCGCATAATTCGTCACATACGTTGAATTATAGCTCACTTTTGGCCTCACTGCTACGATATCCTCGTAGCTAACACCTCCAGCTTCCGGATTCGTCGCTGGCGCGAACAATCCGCCATTGTTAGGGTACCTCAACCTCCATTTATACCCATAAAACGGCAAGCCCATAGCCACTTTCTTCGCCGGAACGCCCGATCGGATCCATTTCGAAACCCCTTCGTCTCCGCTGAACAGCCCGCCCGGGTTATACAATGGAGCAGGTGGCTGGGTCGCATCTGGGTACCCATCTGGAATGAACAGGTCATAAACCATCACGTTGATCCAATCCAAGCTTTTGGCGATCTCCTGAAATGGGTAAAAATTCAACGGCGAAATCTGGTCTGATCCAGCCACGGCAGCTGATAAAAGCAACGCTGGTTTTCCAGAAGATCTTGATTCTGCTGCCACAGCAGATCGCCACTCGTTGATGAGAGAACCATAATTGGTTCTGTCTGTGTCTGAAGATGGGTATTCCCAATCAAGATCGAGGCCATGGAAGTTGTTATTTCTGGCAAGTTTGATGGAAGAATCAATGAATGATTTGCGGGTACTGGCACTGCTTGCCATTTGAGAAAATGTTGAACTCAAATCAGGTCCACCACCGCCACCAATGGACAAGAGGGTTTTAACAGAAGGATTCTTCTGTTGAACTGTTTGGGTGAAGGATGAGAATTGAGATGCTTTGGAAGAAGCAATGGTGACTGTGTTGGTGTTGGGATCAAGATCTGCAAATGCACAGAAGAGATGAGTGAAATAGGAGGCTTCAATGTCTGAAGCAGCGAGGCCACTTTCTGAATTCCAGTACCCTCCTTTGATGACAGATTGGGAAGAAGAGAATCTGAGACGGAGGATGAACACAAGGAACGGAATTATCAGAGATGGAAGCTTTCTGGTGTGAGCCATGGTGAGGCAGAGAAGAAGAAGATGATGGATAATGATCAAGTTGGAGTTTGAATGTTTGATCACCTTTGTGTGATTATATATGCGCGCGCGCACACATGTAACAGTGTGGCGTACAAGGTATATTAAGTAATGTTAATGAATGTTAGGCAATGGGTTTGAAAATTGGATTTTGTTTAATGGATTCTTCTCAAGCTATCGTATTGACAATGGCATTTAAAATTTGACCTTTTTTTTTTTTAAGTTATTCACATACTCATTATAATTTTAATTGAAACTCATGTTTGAAAGAGGTGGCCAAAAAAAAAAATTCGAGGAACTATTTAATCTTTAGTTCCAGCTGGACAATAAATTCTAACTAGGCTTTTGTTCTTTCTATCTTTACACAAATCTGTATTTTTATTCTAATTTTATGAAGTGTCTATGATATTAACATTTTATATAAAATTAAAGCAGTGATATAGTCAATGACAGACCCACATAGAAATCAATCACATCGGAAAGATTTTGCTTGAGAGAAAATTCCCTGGTCAGGTCACGTGTGTAATTTCAAGGCCAGCTCCTAACTGGTACCCAACCACAAACTTAGTTCGTCCTGAGCTTTTTTGTTTCGTACCTCACAGGCAAGTTGATTAATTAATTTAAATATATTTAAAATTTTTGTTAAATTAGTTATTTATAATAAATATGAGTTAATTTTTTAAGGTGTCATTTTGAAACATAATTATCTACCTTTAATAGAAACCCTTGACATGTATGATTAATAAGAATATTTTAAAAAATGAATCACAAGTTTAGAAAGAACAGATCAAATTTATGATTAAATTTAATTTCTAACAAACAACAAACAACAAGCCTTATCCCACTAGGTGGGGTCGGCTACATGAATCACACGACGCCATCGTGCTCTGTCAACAACCCAATTCTTAGATATGTTGTTGATTAGGAGGTCTCGTTCAATGACCTCATTCAGCGTTCTTTTCGGTCTTCCCCTGCCTCTTTTTATGGGACTCCATCTTGTTTGATCCACCCTCCTCACCGGGGCCTCCAAAGGCCTTCTCTGCACATGTCCAAACCATCTTAAGCGATTTTCAACCATTTTCTCTTGGATAGGTGCCACACCGACTCTTGTCCTGATCTTTTCATTTCGAATCCTATCTTTTCTTGTATGACCACACATCCATCTCAACATCCTCATTTCTGCTACTCCGACTTTGTGCTCTTGTTTTCCCTTTATTGCCCAACATTCACTACCATACATCATAGCTGGTCTTATAGCAGTTCGATAAAATTTTTCTTTAAGTTTCTCAGGTACCTTCTTATCGCAAATAACTCCGGTAGCTTTCCTCCACTTTAACCAGCTAGCTTGTATTCTATGAGAAATGTCTCTATCAATTTCCCCATCCTCCTGTATAATGGATCCTAGGTATTTAAACTTTGATACTTGAGGAATAATTTGCTCTCCCATCCTCACCTCCAAATCCCTATTACCTTGCCTCCCTCCAAAATCACAATGCATATATTCTGTTTTGTTCCTGCTCAAACGGAAACCTTTTGACTCCAAAGTCCTTCTCCATAACTCCAAACTAGTGTTAATCTCTTCTTTTGATTCCGCCATAAGAACTATATCATCCGCGAAGAGCATGGACTTAGGGATTCTTTCTTGAACAGGTTTAGTTAGAACATCCAGAATAATGTTAAACAAGTACGGACTCAGAGAGGATCCCTGATGTAGGCCAATCTTAACAGGGAAGTCCTTTGTCTCCCCCCAGGCGTCTTTACACTGGTAGTTACCGCCTCATACATATCTTGTATGACTTTGATATACGCAACCTGTACACCTTTCTTTTCAAAGCCTTCCACAATACATCTCTTGGCACACGATCATAAGCCTTTTCCAGGTCAATAAAAACCATATGTAAATCTCTTCTTTTACTTCTATATCTCTCCATTAACCCCCTTAGTAAATAGATTGCTTCCGATGTGGATCTCCCTGGCATAAATCCAAATTGGTTTTCCGAAATAGAAGTCTCCAACCTCAATCTATATTCCATCACTTTTTCCCACAACTTCATTGTATGACTCATAAGTTTTATCCCCCTGTAGCTTGCACAGTTTTGAATGTCTCCTTTATTCTTGTAAAGAGGAACTAAAATGCTTTTCCTCCACTCATCCGGCATATTTTCAATAGGGATACCATCAGGCCCAACGGCTTTTCCATTGTCCATTTTCTTGAGAGCCGCCTTAACCTCTCCAATACGTATCCTGCGGTAGAAAGCCAAATTCCGATCATCTTCGTTAATTAGCAAGTCCTGCAAGTCCTGAGTCGCATAATTGCTTCCCTCATTAAACAACTTGTAAAAGTAAGCCTCCCATCTATCCTTAATATCACCATCAGTAACTAACACTTTACCATCTTCATCCTTTATACACTTTACTTGGTCCAGATCTCTCTTTTTCCTCTCCTTTTGCTTTGCGATCTTGTAAATATTTCTTTCTCCTGTCTTTGTTCCTAACTCCTGATAAAACCCTTCATAAGCTTTAGTACGAGCTTCGCTCACTGCTCTTTTTGTCTCTTTTTTAGCCAACTGATACTTTTCCTGGTTCTCTACACTATTGCACAAGTGTATGGCCTTAAAACAATCTTTTTTCTGTTTGACTTTCTCTTGCACACTCTTATTCCACTACCAAGTCTCCTTATCTCTTTGACCAGGACCTTTGGATTCTCCCAAAATTGCTTTAGCTACCAATCGAACCCTTGTAGCTATCTCTTCCCACATCATATTTGCATTTCCCTGCAACTCCCAATTCCCTTCCTTCAAAAGAGTCCTTTTGAATAACTCCCGCTTCTCTCCTTTTAACTGCCACCACTTAATCCTGGGTTTTGCCACTTGATGGTACTTTTGCCTGGTACTCTTAAAACATACATCAAGGATAAGTACTCTATGTTGGGCACTCACCCCGTCTCCTAGAATCACTTTGCAATTAGTACACAATCTTCTGTCCGGATTCTTAACCAAAAAGAAATCAATATGTGATTTTGAGACACCACTTTTATACGTGATTAAATGCTCCTCTCGCTTCTTAAAACAAGTGTTGACAATCTTAAGATCGTATGCAAGAGAAAAATCGAGAATAGATTGTCCTCCACTATTAAGCTCCCCAAAACCAAAACCACCATGGGCCCCGTTGAATTGTCCTGCTTCTTTACCAACATGTCCATTAAGGTCCCCACCGATAAAAATTTTTTCTTCGAGTGGTATGCTTTGAACCAAGCCCTCCATATCTTTCCAAAACTTATCTTTAAGGTGTGCCTCTGCCCCAACCTGAGGTGCATAGGCACTAATGATATTGATAGTATCCTTTCCAACAATTACTCTTAACGATATTATTCTGTCCTCAAACCTTTTAACCTCTACCACGTTTTTTTTCCATGTCCCATCAGCGATAATACCAACCCCATTCCTTGTGCTCACCTTTCCTGTGTACCAAAGTTTATACTCTCCAAGTTCCTTGGCAGCTTCTCCAGTCCATTTGGTTTCTTGGAGGCATAAGATATTAATCCTTCTGTCCCTCATAACTCCTGCTACTTCCATAGATTTCTCATTTAATTTCCTAATATTCCAAGTGCCAAATCTAATCTCAGTCTCATGAACTAACTTCTTGTTATTGCAGTTAATCATCCATATTCCAATGCATCAATCATCAATCTATAAATATACATATAATATAAATAGTAATTACATATATAAATATATATAATAAAATTCATGATAAATAATATTATTTATAGGATGTAATATTCTGGTCTTTATTGTTAGTCACTTGCAAGAGGAAATTTTAGTCCTAAATATAAATCACTTGTACTTTGTTTAATGCTCCTTTTCCAATTTTTCCCTATTAATTATAATAAGAAATTAATTGACTCAGATTTTTTTGTCAATATCCATATCTCTCTTTAATAAGGCAAAAAAATGAAAGATTTCATCTATTCAATGCTGTTCTTGATATGAGAAACTCTTATAAATAACTACCAACAAAGAGTAAATGATGCAACTCCTTTCGATCCATTATTGTAGATGTACCTTCTGGCTTTTATAGAACTCATCTTGACAAAATTAATTGATAATAGCACTCCTTCAACACCAAGCCAATATATCAAATTGTGCGTTGTTATAATTAAAGAAAATGAGTAACAACTGAGAAAATTAACTGTAATTTAGTGTTTTTAGTCAAATTTAGTTTTACAAAATCACTGAATGCAATTTTTGAAGTCAGGATGGCAGAGGAAGCTTGCCTTGCTCCAAGTAGTTGACATTTTAGCATAACACACGGTGGATGGCACACTAGACATAAATGGAATTAAATGATGAGGCGGCTAAAGTATGAGGATTACTATTTTAGTCAATTCTTGAATACTATGCAGTACACACGTTGCTGAAGTAGAAAAGACTTCTCACCCTTATCCAACAAAGGCAAAGACTTGATTTTGGAATACTGTCGGGTACTAAATATGAATACTTTTCTCAGCATGATTTAAATTTTGATTCGTGATGTTATGAGGGATTACTCTCTTCCGCTGATCCAACTCCTATTGGTACTATGTATTTGATATTGAATGCATATATATGATAGTATTAGGAAGCATCATAAGTTTACTGGTAAAAAAAAAAAAAAAGCATCATAAGTTTGTTGGATGAAAGTCTGATATTTGATATAAGGAGGATAACTGAGTTTTAACTCAAAAATCACTTTAAGGTTGAAATAACTTTTTTCTAACTCTTGACTCTTAGTTTTTTTTTTCATATTTGAATATTCTGAAACAAACTTTTTAAATATATCCAAGTTTTTCTCAAACTAACTTCTTTTTATTAAAACATATATAAACATACTCCTCCAGTCCTTAATATAAGACTCATTTAACTAATTTGATTATATTAAGGAAGTTAGGTAAGTTAATTAATTATAAGAAATGTGACACGTTTTTTCTAAAACACCATAATCATCTTTCTTAATACCTCCTCTCCCTTTT